GGGCTCCCTAGTTGCAGATTGGTAGCACTGCTGGTGTGATGTGGCTGAATGGGTTTGGAAAAGCCTCTGGAAAAAGCCTGTCAATGTAAATCTGTTTACTAATGGTGTGAATTACCCATGGTCACGCTAAGGCAGCTCCACCTGATGCATCATCCCAGATCTCCCGCTTGGATCCGGCCCTGCTTTGCACAGTTCCCACGTGCAGCGCAGCCAGCAACACACCACTACAGCAGCTCCAAAATGCCACTGCACAGGAGGCCCAGGCACTTGTCCAGCTGCCACTTGGTCTCTGCTCTGGGTCACCTTCAGCACATGCCCATGATCACCCCGCTCTGCTTTGTGCAGGACAGGGATGGATGGATATCAGGCAGCCCGGCCAGAGGAAGTGACAGCAACGTCGTGTGATCCCAAACACCACCACTGTGTGATTCTTGGGGTTGTCCTGTGCAGGGTCAGGAGATGGACTCGATGTTTTCTGTGTGTCCCTTCCAGCTCAGGATATTCTATGTGTCAGGGATTCTGTGGTTTGTCCAGGTGAACAGGCAGGTCCCAATCCAACTGCTACAGCAGTGACTTTGAGTCACTTTTTTCACCACTTGCCATTTTTCAGGCTTTGAATACATCCCATGGGCAAGTTTCTTGACAGAGACGGCACATCTGTCTTCATTGCTTTCCTTTTCTTTTTTTTTTTCTTTTCTTTTGGAAAAAGCAGGAACAATACAACCCATCTTTCATTGCTCCAACTGGTATTGCTAAAGGGTGGAAAAATTAGGTGCTGGTTTTCTGCTTTTTCTTCTCACCTTCATTAGCTTTAACACGTACTGTGCTTCTCTTTCAGCACGAGCCTACCTTGCTAGAGAAGAAGATCTGAGCTCAAACAATCTCGTGTTGATTTTCCGCTCTCTCAAGTACCGGCTGGTCTAATTAGTTTGGAAATGCACCATTTGTTAAAGAAAGATGAGACACAGCCTGACACCTGCTGTATTAATTACTTGCCTCTTTAGCTAATTGTTTGCCCACACTATTAGGCGAGGGAAGTTGTCACCCATGTCTTGACTGGAATAGGAGGGGAGGAAATGGTGCTGTTGGGGAAGAGGTCAGGTTTGGGGATGATGGAGGTGGGGCCAGTGCTAGCTCTGATTTCTGATTTACACCTCCCCAGGGATGTAAAAAAACAGGTGCAGGAGACATCCCAGCATCCACAGAGTGGAGGCTGGATGGGATAGGGAGAGGATCCATTTGGAGAGTGGACTCCTGACTACCAGGGACCTTGCCAGGTGACCCTGGCGTTGCCTCTTTCCACTCCAGTCCCTCCCTGTAAAACCCAGAAAGGATTCTTACATCAAGGCCAGAAATCATTGCTGGCTGCTGTTGGGATGCACAGGGGAGGAATGCAAATCCAAGCAGCAGCAAGCAAAGCACAGAGGCACCTCCCGTGCTGCAGGTCTGGGTGGCTTGTCTCCCCTTGGGGAGTGGCACCAGGGAGCCTACAGAGAGACAGACCCATCACCTCGTGGCTCTGGCTGCTGTTTTGGGGCTGAAGCTGTCACATGCACTTGCCATCAAGCCTGGGGCAGAGAGGCTGGAGGTGTCTGTAAGTGCCAGCCCAAGCCATGCCAAGCAGGACCAGATCCAGCCTCTCTGCAGGCTCGTGGCAGAGGATGTGGTGAAGCAGCAGCTGCCCCAGTCCCTTGCCCCAGTCCCAGGATGGCAAACTGGCTGGAGTCGGGGGAGTCTCTTCCCCCAGCACAGACCTTGTGTGCTTGAGGAACTGAGGGTGGACTCACAGTGACATCCTGCATCAGAGCTCAGCTTCACTTCTGTGCTGATGGAGAGCTCAGGACAGCCCATCGAGGCCAGGGCTGAGAGCAGTGCTGATTTGGGGGCTGGGGGTGAGAGAAGCATCGCTAAGGCCCTGGCAGCAGCTGATGCTGAACATCCCCTCCACTGTGCCTTCCTCCTCGCCTGCACTCAGCCTCTTCCTGACATCTAGTGGGAGCCAGGCAACACGGCAAAGGGACCTGGAGCCAGCTCCAGATTCCCAGACACACAGGCACACACCAGCCGATGGCCAGGCACAAGGTCTGGGCTGCCAGAGCCACCACAGATCACAGCTGGGCTTCACCAGGGCACAGCTGCTCCTGTAGAGCATTGCTGGGGAGGAATTCAAGGTAAGATTCCTCATGGAGGCAGTTATAAGTGGGCTGCCAGGGACCCAGATCTGAGGAGTGGGAGCTTTTTAGTGTTGGCCACCATCTCAGACCACTTGAGCACTCTCTCTCTCTCTCTGCTGCTGGTGTTCCAGGTTCCCAGGGTGCACAGCAGAGCTGGGCAGAGGGAGTTCCTTTCTTGTCCTTGGTTTTGGATGACACCTTTGGGAAGTAGATGGTAGAGGCAAGTGGGGAGCAAGAGACAGATGAGAGCTGTCCCAGAAGGACATTCCCTCTCCACAGGACCACCCTCTCATTCTAGAGCCTGTGCATATCTCCCTGGGTCACCAGCTGCAAAAAAAAGCAAGCCTGCTCCCAGCTCCCAGCCCTCTACCCACGGTTTAGAGGCAGGACAGGGGCAGATGCTCTCCACAGCATTTCAGGGCCAGCCTCCAGAGTCATCCCATACTGGTCAGCATCTCCACCACACTGGTCTCCTGGTTCCCATCCTTCCCCAAAGCCTTTAGATAGGCAGGAGCATGTCTCCTGTCTTGTTTCACAGACTCACTTTCTGCAAGCAAAACCACATTATTTTTTCCCCTTGTTGCCACCTACCCTTGCTTCACTGTGTTCACTTTGCTGTCTGCAGGCCAGGAGGTCACCTTTCCACATGTCCCCAAATCTCCTGGTAATGCCCAAGCACCTTTATCAACGAGCAGCTAAATGTTAAACACCAGGAACAAAACAACAACGACAAAAAAAGGTCTTTATTTCAATGACCAGAAAGAAAATTTAATTCCAAGAACAAAGATACTAATACAAACCACAAAGCACTCCAAGCAAACTGGAGCGATTTGCAGGAATCCCTTCCCAAAGCAGCCAGGCAGAGGTGCCTCTGGTCCCTGGCTCTTCCCCAGTGTGGACATGGGGGACTTCTCCCTGCATCCCCCCCCATGCCACCCCCTGGCTGGAGGGACCCACAGGGAGGTGGGGAACAGTCAACTGGAGGGGTAGGTGAGGGGCTCAGAGTGGGGGTGTCACTGGGTGAGCTCCCATTGACCCTGCGGAAAAGAAAGGCACTTCCCAAACTTCAGTGTCATCCCTCTACCTGCACACACCCGCCCTGGGACTGTGAGGCATCCCTTCATCGCCTACCCCTGCCTATCCCAATCTGACATCCCAGGGATATGGCCCTTTGGGGTAGCCATGGTGCTCCACACAGAGCAGCCAAGAGGGGCAGAACATGGCTCAAAGGTAGAGGAGCAAACACAGCTCTGAGTTGTCCTCAGCTGTGCTCACTATGTTCCTGGGAAGCAAGCCCTCAGCTCCCCATGGCTGTTGCTCCAGGCAGGCACTTTGATGGAGAGGAGGGACAGAGACTTCTCACTCCTGGAGAGAGCAGGAAAGGGAAAGGAGGTGGCCCTGGGCAGGGACTTCTCCGGGGCTGTGCCCATAGCTGGGCCAAGTTATGCCCAAAGTCCCCCACCCCAGGCTCAGTACAGCAACACGTGCAGGAAGAATCACAGGAGCCCCAGCCTGATTTGCTTTCCCAAACACATATCCAACAGTCCTCTGAGGGGGTTGTGGAGCCTTTGAGAAAAGCAGGGATAAAATTCTAGAAGCAATGGTAATCCAGTGACTAAGTGGATGTCACTCTTAAATCGAATCCAGAGCCACTGAAAATTATGGATGGTAGACAAAAATCGCAAACCTCCAGAATTTCCATGGATGAAAGTCAGATCTGTCCAGAGGGATAGTCTTTTCCCTGTGTTTAGAGACAAGCAGCTTGATCCCTTGACAAGGGGCTCATCCCCTCCCTGCCCCTCCAGAGATTTGGCTCCCTGTGACTTCACTCTGTGATCTTTTGGGGCATCCCAAGCTTTTCTGGGTCCAGCCTCTCTCCTGAGGAGGCAGAATGTTCACAAGAAACACTGAATAGGGGAAAATTGCACTAGTAAAGGAGCAGAAAGTCTCAAAAAACACTTTCAAATTTAACTCCCTCAGCTCCTTTCAGCCCCCAGGTCCGACTCTGTAACCTGAACCCAGCCAGGCTTGGGAACAGCAGCCTTTGAATAGAGGAAAAGCACCAGTGCTGCCCTATTCCCACCTCCCATGGGTCTTCACAACACTGGAGCCCGCAGTCAGGGAAATGGCTGGCAGTCTCCCAGGGAAAGGGGTCAGGGAGCTCAGCACAGCAAACACAGCACAGCACCAAGAAGAGTGGTGGGAAGGGGATGCCCAGACCTGGGCACATTTGAAGAGAGGCATCAACTCACCATGTGGCCATGGAGGTGATTACGAGCAGGACCACGAGTTTGAGATTCTTTAATTTAACCTTTCTTCTTTTCAAATAGAAATTAAGTCAAAGTTGGAAGCAGAGGCAGATCCATCAGCATCAAGGCTGCGGGAAGCCATTGGCACTTCCCTGCCTCCCCAGTGCCACCTCTTCCAAGCCTCTAAACCTGCTGCATGGAGCAGGACCATCTACCAAAACCCCTATGTTGTCCTTCAAAGTGAAAGAGCCAAAACCCAAGGCCATCCTGGCACTCAGTCCTCTGCCCTAAGGAGAACCCTCCTTAGTGAAGAAGCCACTCAGCAAGTGATTTTGGCTCTGGAGACACAACCCAGCTCTCCATCCCGGTATCCCCCTTGGCAGTGGCACCGAGCAACTCACGGAGGGGGCATGGACGGCGTAGTGTGGCTGCCGGTGCAGCCCCGGCCCTGCCGAGCTGGGCAGAGGGTGCCCAGCTCATCACTGAGGTCACTTCAGGAGGAGTGGGGGGTCGGGGGGGGAGTGTCAAACCACGCACAAACCCACGAAGCAACACCGAGGACCCCAAGGGGTGGGGGTCAGACGCGGGGGCCGCGCTCGGGCAGCAAGGGCCGGGCGGGCGGCTGCTGCAGGAGGGCAGCCAGGATGCGCTGCAGCTGCGTGAGGCGGGCGCGCAGCGACGTGCAGGAGAAGAGGTTCAGCTGGTAGGACGGGTCGAGGGGCAGGATGGAGATGAGCCACCAGCACCACGTCGGGCCATCCGCCGAAGCCTGGAGGGGAGAGAGAGGGAGAGACCCCCCACCACGTCAGGAGCTGCAAGGTAAAGGCAGGGATGGGGTGCCATCGCTGATGGGAGACAGTTGCTCTGGTCAGGGCGGATTTGGCTAAGGTACTCCTCTGAACGGCCCTTTCATCTGTCCAAGCTCGAGACTGCTGGAAAAACTAATTTAATTTCCAGACAAGCATTCCCCAGGGAGTCTCCAGACACAGATGTAACCGGTAAAAAGTCTATACTATAGAGACAATGAAATATCTTGTGCATTTCCTTTTTTAAGGCAATGCTTTTTGTTAGCATGGGCCAAATCCTGCATGATCAATGTTTATGGGCCACTGGCCTCAGAGAGGTGAGGTGCAGGCCAGGCAAGCACAGTCACTGGGCACTGCTTTTGTAAATCTGCTCTTTTAAAATCTGAGCCAAAGTAAGAGGGAAAAGCTCAATTCAGCTGAAGGGGAGGGCGAGTCTTCTGTCATTCCTGAGCTCATCATTAACATGACTGGTGGCCAGGACAGTCTTAGCCTGGGACAAGCCAGCAAGAGTGTATATTTCCAATCCACATGGAAACACTTTCCTGAAGGACTGAAAATTAGGTTTTGGGATTTTTTTTTCCTACAGAATCTGAACTTGTCAGAGCAATGTAATAAGCAAACAGGATCCTGTCCTCTTAACTCCTCGCCTCTGCCAGCTACGGCTGTCTCAAAGGATCACAATGAGAAAGGAGACTGCAGACTCACTGAGCTGCAGGGTTCACTTCTTTGTCCAGTTTTCACATCTAGAAAGTTCAGTTTCTCAGTTCTCATTTAGGAAAAGAATCTGGGAAAGATTTTAAAACTCTGTACTCAGTTTCCATAAAGTAACATTAAACAGTTTTACGAGACAAGCCCTGCCATCCCTCTGAATGAGAGACGCTGTAAGAGGTTAACAGGGCAGAAAAACTGGACTTCTTTTGTTCATCTTGGGGGGGATGCCGAGTAAGGAATCTGGGTGCGTAGTGCAGGAACAGCATTGCTTCAGAGGCTCTCTTGGCACCCTCTCTGTTTAGAGAGTCCCTTCTCTCTGGATATTACCTGGATGTCCTCCTCCTTCTCCGGCAGCGGTCCATGCTGCATCAAGATGTGCCTGGAGGTAAGGTCTCCATGCTCGCAGAACCGCTGAGCCAGGCGGTAGGTGCTCTCGTGCAGGCACTGCAGCTCCTGCAGCTCCTCCCCAGCCACCTGCACGGAGGGACGAGGGACAGAGGTGTCCACAGGGAGGTTCTGTGCCACTGCAGCCCGGGATTTTGCCCGGCCCTGCCCTCACCTTCCTGTCCTCCAGGTACTCGATGTCAGCGGTGTGGTAGCCGTCCCTGTGCCCGCGGCTCAGCACCCGGAACCGCTGCCGGCCGATGGTGTCCACCAGGGACCTCCCGTCCGCCAGCAGCTCAATCTGCCGGATCTCCAGCATGCAGCCATAGTCAGCAAAACTGGAGGGAGACAGGGAGAGGAAAAAAAAGGGGCCTGAGCTGGGACACCAGTGACAAGATCTGCTTGTCCTGAAGGTACCACCTCCAAAGGAGGAAAAGGCCTGGGTCTTGGAGGGGGCAAATACAGAGATTCACTCAAGTCTGTTCACACAATCACAGAAGGGGTAAGGTTGGAAGGGACCAGAGTGGGTCATCTGGTCCAATCTCCCTGCTCAAACAGGGTCATCCCAGAGCACACGGCACAGAATTGCATCCAGACAGTTCTGGAATGTCTCCAGGAAGGGAGACTCCACACCCTCTCTGGGCACCCTGTGCCAGTGCATGGCTACCTGCACAGCACAGAAGTTCTTCCTCATGTTCAGGTGAAACTTTGTATGCATCAGTTTCTGCCTGTTGTCTCCTGTCCTAATGTTTGGCACCACTGAACTGAGTTACCACTTGCTGCTATGAGGGCAGGGAACAGCGAGCACACTGCCTGTACTCCCTTGGATTTGCCATATACCAAAATTACTCAGCTCCTCGCATTGCCCTGATGTCCAGTGGTCCTGAAGACACCACCCCTTTCAGTGATATCTTCTCAAAGCCCAGAGAATGTTATTTATCTCACTTCACTTGAACAGGAGTGGAGCACAGGGAGGATGTGTTGTGCAAATACAGGTATTTTACAAAATATTTCGGTTAAACATCTGGAGACTGAGCCCATCTGAGATCTGGAGATGCCACCAGGAACATATAGATGGTCAGGCTGCACCAAACAAAGGCCCATTTAACCCAATGTCATCTCAGAGCTTGTTAAGAGCAAAGTATGAGAAATATGGCAGTTTTCAAGTGCTCACTCAGAGCACCTGGAGGTCACAGCCAATAAACAGCTCAGAGATGTCCTGAGCCAGAAGCTGTTCCAAGAATGTTGTATTAAACAGCCATCACTGGCTCTGCACAGCTCCAGCGCTGGCCTCATTCCTTGCCTGGCTGGTGGTGATGCTGGAAGGCAGCGAGATCCCATTTCACTCTGCTATGTGGGGAACACAGCACCTTCCTGCTGATTTTATCCGCGAGGCGCCACAAGATATGAAATATCTCCGAACTACACGGAATTTTAGGTATTTGGGGCTGGGGCAGAGAGGGGCAAATCAGTTGGGGCAGAGGGAAGCTGCCTTGCCCAGGAGCTCACCTTTTCCCATTCTCATATATGCACATGCCAAACCTCCTCGTGCCGGTCTCCTGGCACCGCCGGATCATGAGGCGGTAGCGAGGCTCGAAGACGTGCAGAGGGCAGGCGATGCCTGGGAAGGACATGGTGCATACGAAGATGGGGATGTTCTTGGTCAGGCTGAGGGACAGGAAGAGAAAACACTGAGACAACACCTCCCCAAGCAATTCCCATCCCAATGCTTTCCCAAACTGTCTTTACCCCTAGAAGTGATGCTCTGGCACAGAGCAACCCTAAAGCTTCCACTTGGTTCCCCAAGAGCCCAAAGACAGACTCTGACCACAAAACAGCTCTTTGCAAAGATGGTTCTTGCCCCCAGGTGCCCCATGAGGCACTTCCACACTCAAGCAGCATTGCTGTGGTGTGGTCCTGGATGTGAGACAGACATTGCTTGAGCAGAACCAAGCCAGAGCAATGGTATGGGGACAGACCCCTCTCAGTCCCCACATACACACACGCTGGAGCAAGTCCCTGCTTACTTGGAGAGCTCTGCCATCTCAGCCCGGTGCAGCTCCCGGCGCTCGGCCAGCTGTGCAGGGAAGGCGGCCAGCATGATGTCCTGCAGCAGCACAGTGGGGCTATACCTTCCAGCCTTCAGGTACTAAAAGAAATTAGACCCAGAAATAGGTTGGAGAAGAGCAGGGAGGAAGCCCTGAGGCCCTGCTGGCCTTCTGAATCACACTCACTTTTATTGGAGCTGAGCATAATTTTAGACTGGAGAAAGTCAGGGATAAAACTGGTAAGGGATGTTGAGCCATCTAACAGGATGGGATGTCAGCTCCACTGAGACCTCCGGACACAGCACAGAGCCAGGGCCCATCCAACATAGCGTCCTGTCTCTGACAGTGATGCAATCCTTGTATGACAACCTAATTTCCCTGATGGTCTCATCCGAATCCCTTTTCATTAAAGATTAAATCAAATCTCCAGGTTAGCAGGTTTTCCATCCATTTCCATTTTTAAAAGTAATTAGCATTTGCCTCTCTCTCTCTCTCCCTCAGCCCTGTTTACAATCTCACTAAATCACTGTGGCATCTTGTGGAAATGAATCTCTTGGCCTTAATTATCAACTGTCTAGTCATTCCCACGTGAGTGGAGCTGACACTGCTGTGTCAGGGAGCTGCTAATGTAGGAGCATTACAACTTCCCACCCCAGCCCTGGGCACGCTGCCAGCAGCCAGATCTGGTTCCCTGCTCTCCCGTGGGTTCCCTTCCATGGGACACATTCCCTCACCTCTCTCAGGCTCTGTTTGCAGAGGGGGCAGTTGGGCCGGTGGTCCAGGCAGCGTTCGAGGCACTCCTTGCAGAAGGTGTGGCCACATGGCGTTGTCACTGGCTCGAAGAACATCCTGCAGAGGATGATCAAAGTCAAAGGATTGCAGAGGGCAACAAAGGGAAAGGAGTACAGGTAAGTCCAGCTTGTTCCCCAGGCCTGGCTCAGCACCGTGCCTTGGACACATTGGCCCGGCTCAGCCCCATGGTGAAGGGGTCCCACAAAGCACTCAGCGACTGCAGAGGCCCAGGTAGAGCAGATCAGGGTGGGCAGAGCTGTAGGCACAGCTTTTGTCTATCCCCAGCCTTGTATCTGCTTCTTCCTTGAATTCATCTTGCCGAGAGCAAGAGATTTTGCTTCCAGCAGAAATAACACATTTCCCATGTCTCCTCCTATCACTTCCAGGTAGATTTGCTCCCTGCACCAGACTTTTGCACTGAAGACAGTGATGCTGTGGGGATGCAACACCATGGAACATGATCTCACACTGTGCTTTCCAAGCCCTGGCAGCCCATGGCTCTGCAACTCGCTTTCAGCAAAGTTGCACTGGCTGAGCTTTGCTAATAACTTCTCTTAATTAAATGTAAAGGTTTCTAACTGGCTTAGTCCTTTAATAAAGAAGTCTGGGCTCAGACTGCTGGACTTGCACTATGATGTAAGATGAGAACTGTCCCAGGCCTGAGCACTGTTACTCATCTCTCCACAGAGTCCCAGAAAACCCCATTAGTGTACACATGGCTCCCCTTGGTTCTGGTAGGGCTACAGTTCCCCAGACACCCACAGTGGTCTGTAGTCCAAAAGACAGTGACAGGAAAGTGCCTCCTTCTCCCTTGCTCCAAGAGCAGAGCCAGCAACAAGCACTTGGGTTGCTCACAGGTAGCTCCAGGATCAGAAATTAAATGAAGGTGTCAGAAAAGCCCTGTTCAGCATAGAACCCTGACTCCTCCTGAACAGTGTTTCCTACTCTCAGAAGAGACCTAGATTCACCTAATTCAGATCAGATCTCTCACCTCCCCTACCTCATGTCATTCCCCCACACCATGCCCAGACCTGGAAAAAGCTGTCATGCAGAAGACCTTGACCTACTTGCATGTCTGGCAGTGAAACACCCAGCCCTCTGCCAGTAGCCACTTGCACAACTGTTCCAGGTCCTGGGACACACCAGGAATAACAGCCTGCTTTCAGCATGCCCTGTGGCAGTGCAACACCCAACCCTTCCCCAGCCCTGAGCCAGCAGACAGACACAGGCTCTACCCTGTTCCCTTTTCCACCTCCAGCAGGCACAGGGCTTGGACATGCTTCTCCTGTGGGTTTGCAATATCCCCATCATGGATAGTATTTCCCTTGGAAAACACCTTTCTGTCCCAGACTGCAGGTACAAAGGGCCACCACTGCTTTTGGTCTTTGACCCTGCTGAACATCCCCACCTCCACACCCACCTCCCAAGGGATACAGACCTAATGATGCTGCACCCTGAGACAGGGTAATCTGAGCTCCTCCAGCCTGGCAGAGAATAGCATGCCCTGCCTTCCCCTCTTATCTTTTATCTCCACTGAAAACTATTTCTCAGCAGTACTTGGGACTGAGTTTCCTATTAAGATGTGAAGAAAGATGCACACCAGTAGAGAAAACCCAGCAGCTGCTAATTCTTCATCCTAAAAGCTCTCCTGACAGAGAACTCACCGTATGCAGAGGGAGCACTCCAAGTCAGCTATGCTCAGCAGCTCCCCAAGGCACAGCTGGGGACACTTTGCTGCTGCTGTTTCCTCTTCATTATCTAGTGACAAAAGAGAAGGAAAGGGAAGACAATCCCCCACTTCAATACAGAAAAGCAATCTTTGTTTTCTAACCTTGTTCTGAGGCATAACTGCCACACAGAGTGCTCTGAAAGCGTCAAAGAAGGCAAAACCATTAGGAAATGCAACATAAACCCCTCTGTTGACCCACTCATGTTCTCCCATAGCTGGGGAGGTTAAGTGGACTAAGAAGCTCCAGGATGGAAGCCTCTGGATATCTGCCATGAGTCACCATCACTGCTTTATGCAAACCCAGCTACATGGCAGCCACTTGGCTGGGTGCTGATGGCAAGTTAATGCCAATGGAGGTGCTGCTTCCCCAACTCATGACATGCCACGTCCCTCACATGGAAATTTAATCTAAATTTCCACCAAAACCCAACTAAACCCAAGGGAACCAAAGAAAGCCTCTCCCTGACAGGGAACAAGGGATGTCTGGCTTTAGCCAGCATTTAGAGCCAAGCTAGAGCCAAAAGTTTGGTATAAGTTCACCAGCTCCTCCTAGGCATGAGAAGCAGTGACTGTGCTGGCCAGAGCTTCCCCATGGGACGTCTGCTCACTGAGCTGGAGAGCAGTGAAAACACCAAGTTTTCAGTGCCAAAATGGATTTTAAACAAGCATTTTGCATGAGACAACATTCTGGTACCTTTGATAACACCTACCTACCAACTCCTGGCTCTGACTCTCCGCCGAAATCTCCAGTTCTTGCTGCCGCCCCGGCTGGGAAAAGGTGGCTGTCCCCTGGCCGTGCTCAGACACAGCATCCCCTCTGCCATCTGCCAGCTCTCCCTCCTGATCCTAGGCACAGCAAAGATGAAATCCAGCCCAAACTCCCTTCTCCCTTTGAATGCACAGCCCCATCTGTCCCAGCAAGCCCAAAGGCACCAGGAGGCTCTTTGGTGTGTTGCTGTACATTAATATCTTGTATCTGTGGAACAGCAGGAGAGTGTGGCCTTCATACATTCCTGCTCATCACCTGGTTCAAACCTGAGTTCATTATGTCCAGTCCTACCACCTGCTATTTGCTGTATCTGAGCCCACTTTCTTTGATTTTCCTCCTCTCTCCAAACCTGCTAAATTTGTCTATAAAAGGCAAAGAGCAAAACATGAGCTTTCCTTAACAGCTACTAGTAACCTGAACTGTTCTCAAATGTGGCCTTTAGATGGAAAAAAGTAAACCTCACTTTTTTTCTTTTAATTTTTTTCTCAATGTAGTGTGACTTGGGTGTTTTAAATACAACGAGAGTCTAAAATATTACCAGAATTATTGTAGAATAAAACTAGGAGAGGATTTGAGACAGAGCTTGCTCTGTTTCCTCAGTCCCCACAGCATCAGCTCTGATGGTATCTGCTCTCCTACCCTCCATTACCTGCAGATTCTCTCCCCAGCACGCAAACACATGCACAGCCTTCCCTTATCATACCTCCTTTCCCAAAACTGGGATGCCCCAGAAGGACATTAAATTTCACCAGAGACTCAGATTATTGCAGACTCTTACCTGAGCTTGTGTGGAAGATGATGGGAGCACAGGGCTCCCTCCACTGACCTGGGAACCAGCTGAGCTCAGGTGAGCATCACCCTGGTGTGCAGCAGCTGTGAGAGGCTGAGGAGGATTGTCTTGCATAAGGATCTACAAGAAGAAAGCAGGGGTCAGGGGATGCTAGGAGAAGGAGGCAGGGAGGTGGGTGGACTGCTAGGCTCCCTCTTTCCCCAAAGCAGCTTCCTGCTCGCTGCAGGGTGTGTTTGGGTTACTTGCTTCAGTGCTGGCCCGGTGCTCGGCTGAGCCCTTCAGAGCACAAGGACATCTCCCTGTGTGATGTGAGGGCACTGGAACCCACCATGGTACATCCCACACACCTTCTTCATCTCTCTCCCAGCAGGGTGGAAATGGGGACTGAGTGTCAGGCAATGTTTCCACACCAGCAGGGCTTCAGCTCTTTGTCCCATCTCCAAAAGCACCTTCCCTTTCCTGAAGAAGGCCTGCAGAGCAGAAAAACCTGCATGACTATGACGCAGTGACCAGCTGAGCATGTGCCCCTTCAGTTCCCATGTGAGCCCCAAGGGAATCTCCCTCCAGCCTCCTGCCTGCTCCCATCCCAAGCCAAAGCATCTGGACATGTCCCTGCTCCCATGCTCAGACTTGTTTTAAAAAAATGCAAGACTCTCCAAAATGCAGCAGTTGCAAAAGCCAGGCTGCCAGAGAGCTGGAATCAAGGACAGACATGGTGACAGACCTCTCCCATGAGAGCAATGCAGCACTTGCTGCCTGGATTGGCAACCTAATTGGTCTGTCAAGTTCTGAGCAGAATGAATCCAATGGCTAGGAGAACTCAGGAAAGAGGGAAAATGGTCCCATACAGTAAGATTTGGCTTCAAGTTTAGTCAGCTGATGGGTCTCCCCTCCACTCACCTCATGCTCTCCAGGCTCTGCCCTGCACACAGTGTCCAGGTCCTCCAGTGCCTGTGGATACTGGCCCAGTGCCACAAACGCCTCTGCCCGGCACAGCCGCAGGGAGCTGGAGTCTGGGGCTGGAAAGAGAAATGTTGTCACTTGTGATGAGTCCATGGTGGGGCAGCAGGGCTGGATGAGGCTGGGCAGATGCCCCCACAGCGGGACAGTGCCTGCTCTGCTGCCTCACGCTGAGCACAGCCAGGTCCAGCAATGCTCTTCATGAGGAGTCACTGGCCTTATAAGTCTCTGCAAGGAAGTTATTACCCCTAAATATCTACTTTTAAACTGTTTGAAGCTCTTTGATTTTTCCCTCATCTTCCCCAAACAGCTTCAGCCAAGAGGCCCCATCCCCACCATGCTGGGATCTGGGCTTTAATCCATCATTTTGGGATGCAGCAAAAAGGCTCTACCACACGTCTTCCCTATGGGGCTGCAGCCACGGGAGGCTCTGCAGTGTGATTCACCCAGCAGAGCCACAATAACATGTTACCAAACAAGACTGCAGCTATGGATATCTGAGTTCCCAAACTACCAGGGAGCCTCCTGGGCCTACCTGGCTGCCACTGCTCTCCCAGGGCAAAGGAGAAGCTGGTGGGGTGCAAGAATCTGCCTCCACTACATGACCTGGGGTTTCCAAGTTTCACAGTGCTGGGTGCCCCACATGCTCAGCCTGCTCCTAAACAACAGGCAGTGAGATCCTCTTCTTTCCTGCCTTAGAAAACCCCATGAAGACCTTCCTTCCTGTCAGCAGTGCCAGCAGGAGAAATGGGTAGGGGGATGTCAGAGAAAATGAGCAAGCAGCACTGCAAAATCCCACAGTCATGGAATATGGAGTAACCAGGTGTGGTAATGTTTGTGGGTTTAAACTGCAGAGATTTCCAGACCCACTCCGTTATATCCCAGCTCATGGAGGTGACCTACATCCACTGCTCTGCTGGCTTTCCAGTTCAGGCAATGGGTCTGTGCATGCAGCCCTGCATCCCCCCAGCTCCAAGCATCAGGCTACAGCTGCTTGGGGTTGGGGCTGGGGACCTGCTGGGAGCAGCCCCTTTGGGGAGGCCTCCAGTATCACGCAGGTCCCCTCACTGGCTCCCAGTTCCCCGTGGGATGCTGGTAGGTCCAGCACAGGTAGCACTTGTGGTGGCTCTGCAGGCACTGAGGACAACCTTGTATCACAAATTAGGCACCATTTGCAGGCACTGCTGCTGCATTTACTGTGGCAAAGTGGTGTGGGCAACGTTGCCTTGTATCTCTCAGTGCAAGCTGGGTCCATGAGCCTGGCTGGCAGCCGATCAGAGATCATCAGGAGACATCATTGATGATGATGTCTCCTGCGCTTCCAAACCTGGCAGCATTTCCTCCTGGCCTGGTTCAAACACAGTGCTGACACAGCTCTGCCAGCAAACTGCAGGTCAGGACTAGCAGCTCCATTGACAGCCAGGCACAGGAAGCATCTGCCCACTCCTCTGCTCACCTCTGCTGTCCTGTGCCCAGGCACCCACCACTTCTTATCACAGAGCAGAGGAAGCTCTGCCATGGCTATTTCCTCCTTGTCCCTCGTGCCCCCAGCACGGAGCGTGGCTGGACTTTGCTCCTGGTGCCACCCTAACCCAGAGAGCAGCAGAGAGCCCAGGCACAGCCACTCCTGCAGTGTGCCTGGGCCACACTGAGCTGTGCAGCAGAACAAAACCTGATCCTTCAGAGCTGATTTTCACTGAACATATTAGCTGAGACCTTGAGGCTCAAGTCAGTGGGAACTTTCTGCTCTGTACCCTGTCCCACAAGCACACATCCAGAGACAAAATATCCCAGCCCCTAACAACAGACAGGGATGAAGAAATGGGTACAAAGTCTAGAGGCTTATTTTCCATGTGGGCAAATCCATTCGAACATTTGCACAGCAATGAAGTAACTGATCTGGAAAAAAATCCCCAGATGTGTAAAACAGGGCAAGGAATTCTGCATTTCTCTTCTGCTGCAGCTATTTTTGATCTATGATATCATTAGACACCAGGGCCATAAGCCAGCTGGCAGCTGGACAGACTCACCAGCCTCCACGCTCCAGGCATGTCAGAGGGCCTCCTGTGTTACGTGTTACAGTGCATTTTTCTCTTGTTCACTTAGAAAGAATGAAGATTAAAAGTTGACAGCTTATTTTCACCCAAGCAAAGAGAGTTGGTCTGCAGGCTGGGCTGAGCAGGACACTGCAGAGTGGCCCGTCATGTAACACCGAACCACAGAAAAAAAAACATTCCCTGGGTCAAACATTTATCAGGGGTTCTGTTTGAAAGTGAAAGGGAGCCCATGAGAAGTTGTGCAGCTGAACGCTGTCTGCAGGAGTTGGAAAACACACCCCGAAAGCACCACCCACGTGGCTCAGCCTGGCAGCACCAGCAAGCACAGGTTCACTGGAGCTGAGGCTGTGACTGCAATTTCCTTATTGCCCTAAGCCAGACTTTCCTGTCCTTCGGGATACAGAATGTGCAGGGGAAAGCGAGGACAGAGCTTGCAACGTTTCCTCTTTATACCCACAGAGGCTTTTTAAAAAGAGGTTGGTACACCCCAGCCAGGCAAAAGCCTGGCAATAAGGCAAGCAGCAGCAGAGAGCTGTGCACTGCCTTTGCGCTGAAGGACCAGTGTGCAGGGAGAGACCGATGCCTCTGCAGGTTGCATAAAAGGACCTACTTTCTGCTGCCAACACCAGGATCGACCGGTCGGCTCAGCCCTTCGTTTCCAGCCCTGCACCTCTGGCAACTTGTCTCGCAGCAGGCGATGCATAAGAGCCTGCGCTGCGGGAGAAGAGCTGACTGCTGTCATAGAAACGCCGCGGAGAAAGGAAGTTCTGCCTCCGTTGCCCCAACCCCCTGCTCCAGAAGCATTGTATAACCCCTTTTTATTTAAGTATCACTTTCCAAGAAATCCACTTACAGCCACGCATTAAAGCAGAACACTCCCCCACACCACCAGCCCCCGGCCCGATCCTGGCCCTGCAGGCAAATGTCTCGCCAGAGCCGGATGCCAAAGGGGGCCAGGATGGGGGGTTGACCTGCACCATGGGGATGGCACAGGAGCTCGGCCAAGGTTGTGTCCTCGCCAGGCTTTGGGGCAAGGACGTGTCCATCCCGGACTGGAAAAGTCCCAACCACTTTACATAATGCCCTCCGCTCCCAGGCAGAGCTCTTCCTCTGACCCTGAAATACTGCCGGGAGGCAAGATGTGAGTATCTGCTGCTCTTTCCCCTCCAGAAGCACGAGGCCGATGGGACATAGGCAGGGAGCCCCCACCACGGCCCTGGCAGCGGGATGAGCAGTGGGGCTTGCCTGGCAGCCCATCCATCCCACCAGCTCGGGACATGCACGAAAAAGGAAGAAATGCCCAGCAGCTGCACTCCCCTCCCATCCCCATCAGCCCTGCTTTACAACACTTCCACCTTCCCAGGTCCTCCAGCTCTGGACTGTGCAGGCTCGCAGTGCCATGAGGTGCTGGGACACAGTGGCCTACATTGGTACCCACCTGCTCCAACAGCACAGCCCGCGCATCCCTGTCTTTGCTGCTGGATTGGCCCCTCGCACTCCCGCACCCGCACCCCACCATCCGCACCCCACCATCCGCACTCCCAGCCCCTGCGCCCGGGTGGTCCTTACCCAGCTCGACCCCTCTCTGCGCCATCCTCAGCGCCTCCTGCGCGTCCCCGCGGGCCAGGCGGTCCCGGGCGCGCTCCGCCAGCCCGGCCAGGAGCCGCTCCCGCTCCACGCACCGCTCCAGGAGCCCGCACAGCACCACGCTGCTCCTGGCCGCCCCGACGCCCAGCAGCTCCAGCCGCTCCTGGCACAGCGGGCAGCGGGACAGCCCGGCCCCGCCGAGGCACGGCTTGCAGAAGGAGTGACCGCAGGACACGGTCACCGGCTCCCAGAGGAGCAGGCGGCAGCAGGGGCAGCGCAGCAGGTCCAGCCCCGCGCCGAGGGGCCGCGGGCCGGCGGGGCCGCTCATGGCAGCGCTCGCAGCCGAGCAGGGGGAGCTGCCCTTAGGGCCGGCCGTGCCCGCACACCGCGATCGCCGCCGCGGCCCCGCGCATCGCCCCGCTCCGCCCCGCCCCGCTCAGCCCATCCCTCCGCCGAGCTCCCGGACCGGACCCGACCGGACCGTCCCGCCGGAGGGACCCCGGGCGGCCCGGCGGGGGAGCTGCCCCAGCCCCATTGGCCGCCGCCGCCGCCCCGCCCCGGCCGCGTTTCGTAACGGAGCCCGCGGTACCGGGGCCGAGCGGCGGGGGTGGCCCTGGGCGGGGCTGTGTGTGTGCTCCTGTGCTCGGGCCGACCCTCCCGGGCCGGGTCACGGCGGTGCTGGGAGGCTCCGCAGCAGCCGGGATGCGGGGTAGAAGCGGGGGGTTGGAGCTGAATGAAGCCTTGCGGGGGGCGGTGGAGAGCTCCGCCCCAAGCTGGGCACGGGGTCCTGGTGGGTCTGGAGCAATCTGGAGCAGGACCAGGGTGCAGAGTGCTGCGGGGTGTTTTGGGGTGCCCCAGAACGTGGCCAGGGCACTTTGGAGTCACCCATGGTGCGGGCTGGCTGGGTTAATGGGGTGCTGCGAAGCAAGGCTGGGGCACAAGTCCTGGGGGACACAGGGTGCTCTGCAATGGGGACAGGAAGGTGGGATGCTCTGGAGCAGCTGGGCACAGCATACCTGGGGTACCTCAGGTGGCTGAAGCTCTCCAGAGTGGAACTGGGGTGCTCCAGAGAAGGGGAGGCTGATGGGGCTGCGGTGCACCAGGTGGTTTTTTTGCAGACCCCTCCATAGAAACCCACCATGTCAGGATGTTTTGGGGGAAAAAGGTGTCCCTCCAACACCTGAGTTGTCTTCCTCACCTGCTCTACTTATCTAGAATTGAAGGAGTTCAGACCTTGTATGGAGACAATCCCAGTCCCACTCACAGACCCCCAGGATGGGCTCAGTGTCCCAAGGGAGATATATCCCTCCACCACACAGCCATACATCAAATGGGTCAGCAGCTTTTGCATAGCAGGTGCTGAGAAAAACAGCTCATATCAAAATAGATCAGACTTTATATAAGGATGATGCACATCCCCCAAGGGTTCATTTGTGTGTCCCCACAAACAAACCAAATCCATGCATGCACTGGAAGGGATGCGCAGGGAGGGGGATCACCAGCAGGACATGAGTGCTGATGAAACTCAGGCCCCACTGAGGGAGAGGCTGGCGGAGGTTTGAGCTGTGGAGCAGGTTTTGTTTCAAAATCTACTGCAATTGCACTAAACAGCTCATGGGCAGTTTTTAAAACTCAACAACTAAGCATTTTATGTGCACTTGGAAGGCTTGGCTGCTTTCTCCGTTATCTTCTTAAGTGATCCCTCCAGACTGGAGAAATCTCAGGTGATGTTTGGCAGCACAGCCCCAAAAACCTGAGTATGGCATTAGGGACAGTGTTGGGGGTTTGTCCCCAGGGACTCTGCCCTGGAGAGGGACATTTTCCATGTTCCCCATCCACAGAATCAGTCTTTGGTTCCCCTCTGATACAGACCTTCCCCCAGTTGTTCTTCCATGGGCATTTCTCAAGTGGGCAAGGCTCATTTACACCAGACACTCTCCTCTCACGGTTTATTTTTCTCCGTGGCTTGTTTTTCCACCAAACCTTTGCTATTGAATGAAACAAAAAATTGCCAGCAGGGAGTCCTCACCATTCTTACCTCCAGATTACACCTCAAGAAGGGCACATTCGTGGCTCCTGAGCCATGAAATGAGGGTGACTTTAGCTACAGTGGCCAACACTGCAGTGATGTGCTTGAAGAATGTTCCCATAACCTGTTTGTGTGGCTCAGCCTGGGTGCAGCAGCCCTTTGCCAGGGGCAGCTGGAATCAGGTGAGGAGCGTAGCATCTTTCATAACCCCAGCCAGTTCGTCTGGGAGACACCGGGCTGTTTCACCTGGGACCTGCCTCATTCTTTTCCTCACCTCCTGATTCACTCCCCAACCATTCTCACGTGTGTGGGCTCTCCAGCGCCTCGTAAGCGGCGAGGACGTGCTGCTGCCTTTGCATAATACAGTTTAAAATCAATCAACCACGACACACGAGTCCACTGCAAACCAGGCTTCATTAGCACCAGGGCTAGAACAATTTGTTTTCTTCATTCCACCCAGAGCTGAGCTGGTTCTGAACTCCGAATGCCTTCTCTTCTCACTGCCCCGTGTTCGTGCTGACTCAGTACATAACTGCAAAAGAAAAAAAAAAAAGCTTTAAATGCTTAATGTTAACCATTCTGCTGGCCAGATGAGAACTTCACATGTTGCATAACAGAGGACAGACCACACTGTGTTTAGGAACTATTTGCAAAGCACAATAGGATTTTTTTATTTTTTTTTTTCAGTTTGGAGGTGGGAAACAGCTTGGGTCAGTGCAGGGTGAGGAGTTCCAGGTGTTGCTGCAGGGGAAACTAACTCCTCCTCTGGCTCCCAGCCACACGTCCGCTTGTGCTTCGGCTCCAGTACAGCCTCATTAATGTGGTCCAGACTGTTGACAGCCCAGCATGAGGATAAGGGATTTCACACCAGCTGTGTTTGCTCATTTTTAGTGCATAAATATTTATTGCAAGCACTGACACTTGTTTTTGACACACTAGGGATTAAGGAGTGGCTCTGAGGTGACAGCACCTCCCCAGTTTTTGTTCAGAGAGAGTGTGTGCTCCTTAGGGTGTCTTCAAAGGCACCACAAGCACTTGTAAACAGGAATAAGAACCCTGAATGTCATGACTCCTTTTCCACACTGCTATCCCCACTCTGCCCACCAGCCTCCTCCTACACCATCAGACCTGAAAGTCCTGTTGCGCAGAGGTAAAACAAGTTTCTCCTTTTCCAAAGCCAGGGAAGGAGGAAAGCCTCGGCATCCCAGCCAGGGGGGAGGAGTGTTGCTATAAGCAAGGGCCATGTGGGGCTGACAGTGGGATTTCTAAGTGCCAGGCAGCCTGCTGGGTCATCAGGAAAAGAGCCAGGGCCAAATTCAGTCTCAGCACCTGTGCAAATCCACTCATGGTTTACTCGTGGCTTACAGGATCCTTTCAGCAGTGCTGCACGTGGGTCCTGGCTGTCTGCAAGCCTTGAGAGTTGGCCTAAGGAATTATTTTTACACCTCAGTACGTGCAAATAACATTTAGGGAGCTATTTGCATCATCCCCCTCCCAAACTGTCAACAAACACATCAGCTTCCTGGAATTTTTTGCTTTCTTTACATCATAGTATTTCTAGATCCAGGATGTTATTTAACCACCAGGTTTGCCACATGTGGTTCAAAGCCGGTCCTGGGAAGTGAAGCAAAAGGAAGTGGAAGCAGGTGGTGTGGGAGACTCTTTGTCCACAGTCACAGCACATCTTTTATAACAAGCACCTTTTCTCTCAGGTCTCTAAGGGGACCTGCTCCATGCCTGGTTTTCTCTTGGCAGAGGTGAGCAGATTGCCACACTGCTGCGTGAGGTTTGGGATTTGAGGCCTGCAATGTGCTGACCAGGCGCTGGGCAGGGAGCAGTCATATAAATTACATAGTACTGTTCCCAAGTCCTGAAACTGCTGCTTGAGAGATCAGAGAGGTCCTGACTCTCTCAGTAAGAAGGATCAGATGTAAACAGGGTCAGGGAATTAAGAAAACTTTAGTCTTTTTTCCTTCTGACTCATACAGGCTTTGCCTGAGGCAGCATCATTCCTAGAGAAATGAGTTGACTTTCACATGGATTGGTGGGACACAGAGCTGCAATGTAATGTTATCTCACTGTTCATGTAACTGGGCTTATGTCTGAAGTCCTGGAAACTGCAGGAGAGCCCAGAGCAGTATCTGACTCATTTTGGTCTCTTGAGCCAAACATCTTGGCAAAGAGGTTGGCAGAACATTACTGCTCAGTCTTGAAAGCATGTCCCACATAAAATAGATGGAGATGTCTTTTTCCACAGTCATGTACAAACCACACAACCCTAAGAAGAGAGTACAGGTAAAAGCAAGATCAGAACTGTCCCCATTATCCAGAGGGAAGCCCTAGGATGGCTGGCAAGACCATGACCTGTGGTGCAGGGTGCTTTAAGGTTGTCTTGATGCTTTGCAGTTGTTTCATTGGTGTTTCAAGGGCAGCTGTAGGAGATCCCATGGAGGAGCCCCAAGTCAGCATGGCTTGTTTTTCATCACCTAATCTCAGGGTGCAAAAGGACATGGATAACATAACCAAGTGATTCAAGGAGGAAAAGTCATAAGGAACCCACTCCCTGAGGACATTGCAGCAAGGTCCACCACTTCCAAGGAGGTTGGTGTCCACAGGGAGCTGCATCCTAGGGGGCCAGACCTGGAGGTCACATCACCCACTTCATCTTCTGGATGGGGAGAACTGATTTGCATCAGCTGTTTCTGCAGGGTCAGACAAAGTTGCCAACTTCCCAAGCTGCTCTGTGTTCATGTGCCTGACCTGGGACGTGGGGGTGACAATGTGGTGGCCCATCACTGGAGCTGGGGACTCGCCAGGCTGCCCTGCCCCACTCATTCCCCAACCCTTGGCTCCTTGCCCCAGCCAGTATGTGCCACCTCCCTCACTTCTTCCTTTTTTCAGTTTTCCTGTTTAGCTCCCACCCACCTGACAGAGATGCCAGCAGGGCTGGCAGGGACCCAGCACTGCCTTTGAACTTTGCCAGAGGAGTCTGCAAGTGACAGTGGGTGGGCTCTGCAGGTGGCAGAGCCTGCTCTGCAGGGATGCCTCTGTCCTGCCATGCTCGGTCCAAGTCCAGGGTCAAGCTTGTCCCCCTCATCCCACACCTAATGGGTCACACGAGGTGCTACTGGCAGAGGACCCCAGCTCCCCTTTAAAGGGCACCAACTGGAAGCAAGTTGGCTGGGGCCAGAGAGGTTTGCAGGGCAAACATGGACAAGCATTGAAGTTCTGCAGCTGAGCATTCCCTCTATGAATACTCCCTTCCCCAGTGGCCAAGAGCTGCTGGATGAGTGCTTTCCCAGGCTGCACTGCCTGGGGGGCAGCAGATCTTTCCCCTTCTCTCTGTTCTT